GAAGCAGACTCCCTGCCGAGCAGGGAGCCCGATGCGGGACTCCAGGATCATGACCTGAGCCGAAGGCAGTCGCTTAACCAACTGAGCCACCCAGGTGCCCCTGTCAGTTCTTTATAATAACTAAAACAAACCACTGGTCATTTTTGGAGGAGGTAAGGAACCCACTCAACCATCAGAAAAACTGGTAAATGAAGAGACTCAGTCTTCATGCTACCATTCTGGTGCAAGTATAGCTAGGATAACCAATTGGTGGAGGAACAGTTCTTTATTACACACGCAGAAAGGAGGAAAGAATATCACTCTTTTGTAACAGCGAGTGGAATAATGCACACGTAGACAATAACCATCAAGAGCTGCTGGAAACAGTGGAAAGCCACGGGGGAGTCTTACGGGGATAGGTCAGGCTGAGGACACCTGAACTCAGCATCAGTAGTGACATCACAGAGACAATCCGACCTGATGTGCCTTCCAGTTTAATACAACAGTAGTGACAAGGTATATCCTTGCCCAGAATAATGAACCTGAAACCTAACGGGGTTCTGGATCTACCAGAATCATTTTGACACTGCCAGAGACACACAGCAAGTCCCAGTTTGGGAGAATTCGTGGGACGAAGGATCAATTTTGTTCATCAAATAAACCATCAGAAAAAAAGGGAGAAAGGGACCCTAATAGATTAAAAGAGATTTAAAGGACATATTAGCCAAACACAGAGGCGGACTGGTGACTGGTTCACATCCTGGTTTGAACAAACTCACTGTAATCTCATTTTTAAAAGCATAAGTCCAAAATTTGAACATTGAGTATACATTTATACTAAAAAACTGTGCATTTTTAAGATGTGATGACTGTACTTTTTTAAAAGGAGGTTTTTGTGTGCACACTGAAGTTTTTGTCAATGAAGAATTATGTCTGGGATTTGCTTAAAACTAACACAGTGGGGGAAAGGGGGCCGATGAGTAGGAGCTTATTAAAAAAACAAAATTGGTCATGAGTTGATCACTGCTGAAGGGGGTAGTGGGTGTAGGAGAGTTCACCATATTATACTCTCTCTGCCATTTTGTGTAACAAAAAAACTTGACACTTAAAAATGAAAACATTCTCCAAGTGTGGTCTCCCCAGTGTGGTCAATATTTGGGAGTGAACCTGACTCAGAACCCGGACATTCTTCCGCAGGTGCTGAAAAGATTTGGCGTCTCACCTAAGACTGGTTTAACCTGGAGTGGGGGTGCATGTCGTTCGCATTTCAAAAACAAATCCATCTGCTCTTTCTACTTCCTCATACTCAGAAACCGAAATGAATCTCAGGTCCAGACGCATCTTCCCCTCGAACCCTCACCACCACCCACAACAAAAATCTCGATCATTTATTGCGCCGCCCTGTGCGGCCCGGGAGAGGCGCCGGCCTGCTGCGGGCGTAGGTAGTTACCTATGGGGAGAGGAAAACCAGGTGGAAGAGATGGAAACTGGTATTTTCTGTAACGGGCCGAGGAGTGCAGCGCGGGGAGACGGGCGGGGGCTTCTGAGCGCGGCGTCGCGGGGCGGGGGCGGGGGCCGGGTGGGGGCCGTGAGGACTCGCAGAAGGGACGCGGGTGTGCCCGAGCACAGCCGGGAAAGAGGAGCGGGGGCGCCCGGCGCTCCGCCCCACGCTTGGCTCCTGACTGCTTGGGCGGTGGTGCGTTCCGGGGCATAAACTACGCCCTTACAGCTGATGCCTCCGTGTTCCACTCGTTCCTTTTCCACAACCGTCCACCGAGGCAGCAGTTCAGCCCGGCGTAGGGGCCAGAGAGGAGGAAAGCCTTGCTTAAGCCATCCCATGAACCCGACCACTCGGCTTCCTCACACCCTCACCTCCTCCATCTCCCCCAGCCCCTCACAACCAGCGGAGGGAAAGTAATTAATATTGCAGTAAGAGGGTGTGAGATAAGCAGGAGACAGGAAGGCCCCCAGTCCTAAGACTAGCAGAGACTGGAACCACCAATGCTCCAGCGGTCGGGGAAGGTGGGGGAGGGCCCTTGCAGCCTGGATAAACTAGGACTCCGCGTTCAAACGCAATTAACGGTCCACGCATCCCTGTCTTTGCGGGGCTCCGCTGGAAAATTACCCGACTTCAGAAAGTCTGAGCCTCGACACCTCTTATATCAGCCCCAAGTCTTGCTTTAGATGTGAGAATCAGGGACCCCAGGAAAGCGGGAAGGAAGAGGAGCTAGGAGACAGCTCAGCTTTGGGTGTTAAAATGAACCCCCCCTCCCCACCGGTGAGGCGCTCCCGCTCCGCACCCACAGAGCAGCACGTGGTGAAATTTAGGGATCAATTGCAAGGAGACTATGACATCCCTGGGGACAAGGAGGGCATGACTGGAAAGAGAAAGCCTCCGTCCGGCTGCATCCAGGGGAGCTCGGAGGTAGGGGCTGGACGACCTGACCCGGGGCGTTCCCCTTCCTCCTCCTCATCTTCCCGCAGCTCCCAGGGCTTTGGAAAGGGCCTCGGCCCGCCCGGACCTCGTCATTTCCCGGAGTCTGAAGACATTGGCTCTGGACCCCCCTCCTCCCGGCGGCTCCGACGCACCCCTGACCCTGTGAGCGTCTGGGGCGGTATGGTGCGCGGGGCTGGCCCTGCCTCTCATCAGGCCCCAAGCCTGGGAGGCGGAGCTCCGCGGGCCCGGGGGCGGGGACATGGCTGGTGGGCGTGGCGTAGAGTTGGTTCGGGGCGGGGCTTCTTGGAGGCCTCAGGGCACTGCGCGGCGGCTGGCCCTGGCCGAGGCCCGCACTAGGGGGGATCTCCCCGAGCGCCCGCGAGCATCGCGAGGGCGGGGATGCACTCCTCCGCGACCAGTACCAGCAACGACAGCTACACCTTCCAGGCCTCCTTCCCTTTTGCGGGCGCCTGTTTTGCGGTACCCAGATGGTCCTGAGCCCTAGAGCTGTTCCTTTGCCCTCCTCTCTGCCTCCTCCCCTTCGTCCCCTCACTTTGGGATGTGCTGCCGCTGGCAGGGTTGAAGCGGGGCTTCCAGGACCCCTTGAGAAAGGTCACCTCCTCGCGCTTCCTAGGCCAGGCTTGATGTCTCTGACCCGGCCCTAATTTCCCTTCTCTTTCAGTCTCCTTTTCCCCACTATGCCTGTGTCGACCAGAAAGCCTGAAATACGTGAACAGATTCCACACAAGGCTGCTCACTGCAGCACAACTTGGAACAGGACCGCTCAGACTGGACACAGAGCGAACAGGTTATGATGAAGCGCTGCCGTGGGGAAGCATCCAGCTGCGTCCTGGTTGACCCGCAGTCACAGAGGATAGACACCTGCCCCAGACCACTCCTTTCTCCTCCGTCACCCCCCCCCCCCCAACACTGGATGCAGCCTTGGCCCATCCGGATCTCACCCTTCCTGAGGATCTGAAAAACCTGACCCTGGACATTGGCTCTCCAGGGGGCTCAGCCAGGCCCTCGCCTTCTATCCATTTTGCAAATGAAGAATATCTGTGTAGTATTATAGGATGACCTCCAGGATCCATTAAGTGGGGGGAAAAAAGGAAAACAACAAGGTGGGGAACAGACACCTCAGAGAAATGTAAATATACATATTTGTTGGCTTACTTACAGTTTTATAAGTGGAAGTATAAGCAAAAGGCTAACAAAAACAGTTACCTATGGGGAGAGGAAAACCAGGTGGAAGAGATGGAAACTGGTATTTTCTGTATGTACCCTATCTTGTACATTTGAGTTTGGAAACATGTAAATGTTTTACATCATTACAAAATAAAATAAAACAAGACAAATTGAACCTGTGTATGTAATTGGTAACTTAAATGCACAGAGAGGCATTATCTTAAGTGACTTTAAAATGCAGGAGGGGCGCCTGGGTGGCTGTGTGGGTTAAGGGTCTGACTTCAGCTCAAGTCTTGATATGGGGGAGGGGGGTGCTGGGATCCAGCCCTGCTCAGCAGAGAGTCTGCTCATCCCTCTCCTCTGCCCTTCCCCTACCTCTTAGCCCCTCCCCCTGCTCATGCTCTCTCTCTTCCTCTCTCAAATAAATAAAATCTCTAAAAATAAATAAATAAATAAAATGCAGTCATTTGACTGTATATCCTTAGTGGGATATATTCAAAAAGAATTGCAAATAAAACTTATTTTTTTCATTTTTCATCTTGGTAATAATAGTATTATTGTTGTTTTTCGGAATCTATTGTTTATGTGCATATACGTATATACACATATATAGTAGGATAAAGAAAATAAGTGATTACGTTAATGTTACTAGAACCAGAATTTTCAACCTAAAAGAAAAGATTAGGTTTTCTCTATGATTATGACATAAAAGGAAGAAATAAAACATAGTAATCCAAAATTTGAATAAAAAAATCAATATAAACTCATAATGTATTTTCTCTTAAAAAATAATAAAATGTATTTTTTAGTTCTGTTTATAAGAAGGCCTAAAAATAATGCCCTAACTGGATATGCTGAGCACGCACGCTCACACTCAGATAGGGGCCTCTAAATATTATTTCCCACTGAAAGGAAAACAGGTCTTTGGAGAATTGGATAATTTTAGGTCCGGGAGAAGAGATACACAAGACAACTCGGGAACATCCTGTCACCCCTGGTTATGAGAAAGCCACTGCGGTCAGGTGAAAAATGACTCAGGAGCCAACCTGAAGAGTCAAAGATGGGATACTTTTAGAATCGATATGGATAATAACTCCAATTGATGGAAACACATCAAATATGTAAAAAAAAACCCGTCAGTTCTTTTTTTTTTTTTTAAAGACTTTATTTATTTATTTGACAGAGAAAGACACAGCGAGAGAGGGAACACAAACGGGGAGTGGGAGAGGGAGAAGCAGACTCCCTGCCGAGCAGGGAGCCCGA